ACTTCCGCCGCCGCCACCGCCCCCTCGGGAAGCCCCGCCTCCGTAACTTCCGCCGCCGCCGCCGCTGCTGCTGCTGCCACTGTAGGTAGTTTGGGTGCTATGCACCGCTGGGGTTGGAAGTGAAGGGGAAAGGGCAGACGGGTCAGATCCATGGGTAGGGGGTCTCAGCTGCACCCACCCCTCTCCTTGCAGCCCCCTACATCCTTGATCCCTGGTGACAACAGCTTGCCCACATATACAAACACGAAGTTACCCCTATTCCCACTTGAAAATTAGCATCCTGAGTCAGGCTTGCTTCAGTGGCTCAGGCCTGTAATCCCAGCCACTTGAGAGGTAAATAAGATCTTGATCTTAGTCCCTCACCCCTGAGGGGGTTCGAGGGGGGGTGAATTTAAGACCCTCTCTGAAAAAGGAAACTGAAGGCAGTAGCCCAAGTGGTAGAGTGCTTGCCTTGCAAGCCGCAAGTTCAAACGCCAGTACCACCACACACACAAATATATATGTGTATATATATATATATATACACACACACACACATATATACATACATACATACACACATATACATATATAGTGGGAAGGAGAAAGGAAGAATAATAAAGAGGGTGAGATTGGTGGGACTATATTGTAGAAATGTAACAGTGAAATTCTTCCATGTATAACTAATGTAAATAGAGTGGAGAAGGTAGTTCTCTCTTGTACTGAGGCTTAAACTCAGAGCCTGGGTGCTGTCCTTTAGCTCTTAAGGATGGTGCTCTACCATTTGAGCCATAGTTCCACTTCCAGATTTCTTTGTGAGGGAGGATGATTAATTGGAGATAAGAGTCTCATGAATGTTCATGTCCTGCACCTAGCTAACAAGCTGGTTTAAAAAAATGGTGGTGGCACTCTCTGAAGAGTCTATTCATTGTTTACTGAATAGATAACCTAAACATTGTAGCCACTGTTTATTGTATACCATTAGAAATTAAGATAAGCAGATCTAAAATCATCATCATTGATTCTAACAAATTCTTCCAGGATTTGCAATGATAAGCTGTTGTTTGGATAGAGAACTGAAAACTAAAATGTCAGACACCAGTTCCCGCTGGTCTCCTGGCAACTGTCCCCTCAGCCTGTTCTCTTGCTCAACACCAACTAGTCTCTATCTCTGGACTCTGCTGGTACTTACATATGCTCACATGGTCCTGCAGCTGTCCAGACATCCTGAAAATGAAAATGCAAACATCAGCCAGGCCTAAGAAGCCTGAAGACACTAGCCAGAAGCAGCAGCCTGGAGACAATATGAAGATGTGGGTGTGAAAGGGAAAGCCACCTCCAACCTCAGAGGACAAGAAGCCATGAGCACTCTTATGAAACCTTTTAGCACTGGAGTCACAGCTGGCTACAGTGACTTGGGTTCAGGTATGGAGACGTGGTACTTGGAGGATGAGGAATGGATGACACATGGCTTTACACACACACACATCCCACATGCTCCCAAATCCTACATCTTCTGCTTCTAACTCAAACACTTCTGCTCCACCTGGAGTACCAATCTTCCCAGAAAATTAGAACGCTTCTCTTCTCTCCAAACAGTGCATCTGGATTTGCCAAGAATCATGGCTGCCACACCCACCTGCTCTCCTCACACTCCAGGAGCTTGCGGTAGGTGGCAATCTCCACGTCCAGGGACAGCTTGGCTCCCAGCATGGCTTGGTAGTCTCTCAGCAGCCGGGCCAGGTCCTCCTTGGACTGCTGGAGGGCCTCATCCATGCCCTGCAGCTTCTGCTTTGCATCCTGGAGGGCCCGCTCTCCCCTATCTTCTGCCTCCCCAATGGCTGAGTGCATCTGTTCAATCTGTATCAGAGAGGGTTTGGAGAACCACAACGGTGTTGAGTTTTCAGCAAGGCATTATGGGAGGCAGCTTGTCTAGCCAACAGACCCAGAGTACCCATCCCACCTGCTTTTTGACGTTGCCGATCTCTGCCTGCAGCCTCTGAATGGTGCGGTTGAGCTCAGAAATCTCCATCTTGGTGTTCTTCAGGTCATCTCCATGTCTACCTGCTGTGATTTGGAGCTCCTGGTACTAAGGGTCAAAGGTAGCATCCTGGTCAGCACCTGGTACTGACCAGGTGAGCAACTCTGGGAGAGGAATGAGCTGCATTGCTCTCCCCTGGGAAGTTCCAGAAGAAGCCCACTCAGATCTGTGGTTACACACACACACACACACACACACACACACACACACACACAGAGTCATACCCATACAAAGCCCCTCTCACCTGAGCTGCAAACACACACCTCTAAGCCAATCCTCCCTCATCCCCCCCACCCCCAAATCTGGGCAGGATCATACCTCAGCCAAATCAACCTGCTTTTTGAGCCCTATTACTTCTTTTCTTACATACCCAAGCCTTCATACTAGTCCTTCCTTAGCCATACTGGGGCCTTTTGCTTTTTCCATACTATTATAGTCCTTCTTACCTTTTTCAGGTGATTCTACTAGCAGGCAGGACTTCCTGTCTTCAGAGGTCCTCAATATGTTCCACATACTTTCCTCAATCACTGTCTATCTCTGTCTGTCCCCCCCCCTTTCTCTTTCTTCCTCCTCTTTTCCTCCACCTTTTCTTCTCTCCCTTCCTACCTGTCTCCCTCCCCTTCTCCCTTTCTCCTCTTTTTCCCTCTCCCCATCTCCCTCCTCTCTTCCCTTTTCCCTATTCCCTCTCTCTTCTCTTTTCTCCTGCCCCCCCCGCCCCGCATACATCAGAACTCTACCCATTGGGTATGGTAGGTGTGGGGAGAGTTGACTGGAGAGGATGTGTTCAATTTGATATTTTTATTGTTGAGTACCTCCTCAGTCTGATGCCAACACCCATTGCACCCCAGAGCACCTGCCTTCTAGCCAGAGTGATTAGAGTTGGTCAAGGGTAAATTGCAAAGCAGATCACCAAGTACCAGTCAGAATTTAATGCCTGGCTGCCAGCCTTTGTCTCTTCAACTACAGAATCTTCACCATCCAAAAATGCCTAGGCCAATTTATGATAAATAAGCAAAGAAAAAGCTACACATACATTCATCTAGTAGGTGAAGGTTTGGTCTTATAATGGAATAGCATGCTGTTAAAAAAATGTTGTGGGTAGAAACAACAGATCTTTTTTTTTTTTCAGTTTTCGACTTTGTTGTCCCCAATGTACTATATCTAGTTCTTTCTTCTTATTTTATTTCATTTTTATTTTCCCATTGGTTTATCCTTGGCAATCTCTGTCCTTGGTTCTTGTACCCTTCATCATGGATATACATTTATCTGATTTGGGGAAGGGAAGGGAAATAACAAAAATACTGAAAGAAGCACAAGGCTGACCCATTGCAACCATGATATTCACAAGACTATGTTGGAAATGAACTTTACCACTTTGGGAGCAGGGGGAGTGGGGGAGGAAGGGATAGTGGGAGAAAACAAAGGAGCAGGTAACAATTTTCAACAAGAAATGTACCTTACTCATGTAATTGTAACCCCTTTATACAGCATCCTTACAATAAAACAATAAATTTTTTTTAAATGTTGTAGGGCCGGGTATCGGTGGCTCATGCCTATAATCCTAGCTATTCAGGAGGCTGAGATCTGAGGATCTCGGTTCAAAGCCAGTCCAGGCAGGAAAGTCCGTGAGACTATTATCTCTAATTAACCACCAGAAAACCAGAAGTGGTACTGTGGCTCAAGTGGCAGAGCGCTAGCCTTGAGCTGAAGAGCCCAGGGACAGGGCCCAGGCCCAGAGTTCAAGCCCATGACCAACCAAAAAAAAAAATTGTGGGATATTTAATGTCACAGAAAGAAAAATTCAAAATTATGTTTTAAGAAGTACCATGATGAGAAAATAAAAATAAAAACATTTAGTGGTTAAGCACATAGAGTAAACCTAACTAGGTTTAATTAGGTGCTGCTTGCTAGTTACAGGACATAGGTAAATTACACAATCTCATACTCTGCTAAATATTTCCATAAAGCATTTATGTAAAGCCAGACACCTGTAATCCTAGCTGCTCAGGAGGCTAAGATCTGAGGATCAAGGTTCAAAGCCAACCTTGGCAGAAAAAATTCTTTGAGTCTCATCTCCAATTAACCAGGAAAAATGCTGGAAGAGGAGGTATGATTCATGTGGCAAGGTGTCGGTCTCATGCAAAAAGAAAGGCCAAGCAACAGCATGAGATTCTGAGTTCAAACCTCAATAGAAGCACCAAGCAGGGGAAAAAGTTTGTATGGTGTCTGGTACCTACATAGGAGTTCTCCAGAACTATCTGCAACAGAGAACTGGAAGGAACTATCTGAGCATATTCACGTGATGATAAGTTATGGATAATCTCTGTGATTAAGTTTCTACCATCAACATGCCCAGGGATGCTTTAGCAGACAGTAGGACGTTCTGTGAAGTATCTGTTTATTTGAGGGTTCAAGGTCTGCTGGGCAGAGCTCACCTTGGTCTGGTATAAGGCCTCTGCTTCATCCTTGCTTCTCTGTGCGATCATCTCATACTCAACCCGCACGGCATCAATGATGCTGTCCAGGTCCAGGGAGCGGTTATTGTCCATGGACAGGATGACATTGGTGTCACTGATGTGGGTCTGCATCTGGGACAGCTCCTGCAGGTCATGGAGGACTTAGTAGAATTGTTCTACTCTCCTCCTAGAGTCTCAGTATCCCTCCACTGGCTCCATCAAATTTCTCTGGTAAGGCCAGAGCCTGCACCAGGAGGGAGTCTTGCAATTGGGGATCTTGGAGGGAGAGTTCTTTGAATTGTATGCCGAGAGGTGATGGGGAGAGTCTCCTTTATCTCAAGGTAATGGAGCCCAGGCTCAGCCTCCAGGAACCAGGAAGGTGCCTGAGCCCAAGGCCCCTGTAAGGCCACCTCCCTGTCATACCTCTCCTGTACCCTCTATCCTGCTCTTTCTCTTGGCTTCCATTTTGAGCTGGGCCCTCCAACAGGCACACTAGCTCCTTGAAGGTACATGAGTTCCCAGAGACAGTGGGGAAGAGTCTGGTTGTAGAGCCACTGACAAGCTGAGTAGCCACCAAGTGGGTAATTTAATCTCTCACTTCCTGTTTGGTATACAAAATGGAAATCCCCATAAATTGAGCTTCTAACAAGCACCCAGCCAATAGTGTGGGTCATCAAGTTAGACACAGCAGATAGGAGGGCGGGTGTAGGAGAGTACTTCATCTCCTCTAAGATTCCCTATTCCCATCTCCTACAGCCTGGAATGCATGAAGATTTCTGCTTGGTTTTGTCCTGATATGTCCTGGTGTTCATTTCATGTCCCAGACAGACTGGGAGACACAGAACAGGGGAAACTCCCACCAGGAATTTCCTGAGGGATTGGGGTTGGGAGGTCAACTGACTCCAGGCCCTCACAGTTGGGGTAGCAGGAGAGATGAGCCTTTGGTACACTATGTTGGGCTTCAGTCCTCTCCTCCTCCAGCCCAAGATGGGAGAAAAGGAAGGAGCTTCTCTTAACAGCTGAACTCACCGTTTCATAAAAGAATTTCAGAAAATTGATCTCCCCATACAGGGTATCCACTTTGGATTGCAGGTCAGCTTTGCCCATATAAGCAGCATCCACATCCTAGACAACAAGCAAAGATGGTTTGACTTTAGCGCCCAGACACACCACTCACTGGGTGACCCAGACAAGGGGCACCACTTCTCTGGCTTCACTTCCTGGCCTGAAATGTGATCACCTCATTTAAATCTGGGTCCTGAAAACTGGCTTTGAGAAAGGACACCAACCTCCATAGCTCAGCCAGCCACGGCCAGCACCCCTACTCCCTCCCTGTATTGCAAGGCTACCATAGCCAAACTCAAGCACTGTCACTTGTTTCATTTCTCTTTCAGAAGCCTGGAGAGGCAGGACTGGAGGATTCTCACAGACAGCCATGAAGGTGAGTCTCACACTTCTTCAGTGGAAGAACCCCATGTCTAGGCAACACGCACCACGCTGGCCCCAGAGGCACCTTGCCCATGTCACCGAACACACCACGAGGTGCTCCAGTCTCCACCCAGTCTCCTACAGCCACAGTCCCCCTCCCATTTCCCTCACCTTCTTTAGAACAACAAAGTCATTCTCAGAGTTGGTCCTCTTGTTGATTTCTTCCTCATACCTGTGTGGGAGGCAAGAAGTAGGGACAGGCTGTTGGGCTGTCCTTGGTTCCCTGAGGCTTCTTTGCCCAACAGAAAGCTCAGATTTCCCCCAAACCCCCACTGTCTTAGACTCAGTCCTGCTCATAACACCACGGCCTGATGATACCAGTGACAACTTCTAGCTCTCCAAATCAACGAAGAGGATAGAGAAGCCACATGGAAAACCCAGGGCCACAAAGAATGTCCCAGAATCCCATTTTCATCCTGATGTGCTACCTTTGTAAATGTGGCAGGATCTATCTTTTTTTTTTACCTTAAGAACATGAAGTAGCGACTTAATATACACATATTTATATATATATATACATACATACATAGATAGATCTATATTGACAGATAGATAGATAGATAGATAGATAGATAGATAGATAGATAGATAGATAGATAGCTTATTCATTCAAGGCTGGTGCTCTACCTCATGAACTCCATTCTTGTTTTTTGCTGGTTAATTGAAAACAAGAGTCTCATAGACTTTTCTACCCAGGCTGGTTTTAAACTGTGATCTTCATCAAATCTTAGCCTCCTGAGTAGCTAAGATTACACGAGTAAGCCATTGGTGCCCACCAACAATCACTTTTGTTAATTTTTTGGCAGTATTGGGGTTTGAACTCAAGGCTTTACATTTGTCGAGCAGGCACTCTACCACTTAAGCCACACCTCCAGCTCTCTTTGCTCTTGTTATTTTTGAAATAGGATCTTGCTTTTGGCTTATGATCCTCACGTTTGTGTTATCTGCTGTAGGGTGACAGGCAGTATACAACCATTCCCTGGAAGTGGTGCTGTGGCTCAAGCGGTAGAGCACTCGCCTTGAGCTGAAGAGCGGCAGGGATAGTGCCCAAGCCCAGAGTTCAAGCCCCATGACCGACAAAAAAAAACAACCATGCCCAGCTTTTTACTGTTGAAGTGGGTTCTCAAGAACATTTCTGCCCCGGGGTGGGGGGGAGGGAGGATGGCCTAGAATTGTGGGTCTCCTCATCACTACCGCCTGAGTGACTAGGATTTTAGGCTTTAGCCATTGGCATCCAGATTTTACTAATATTTTAAGAAAAAATATTTCACCTATAGTCATGCCCTTTGGCATCTCTAATATGAGTTTTACTTTTCCCTTGATGACCCATACTTTGACTCTTCAGTGGCCCAACACAGTAAGCATGTCAAGACATTGTTAAGAGAAGCACCTGCATTCATAAGGGAGGAAAGAAGAAAGGAGGGAGAGAAGGAGGGAGGAAGGGAGGGAGGTCACCCTTGCCTATAGTAGTAGTAACTGGGTCCAGTATTGAGTGCTTAGTGCATTCAGGTAAAGCACTGGGAACTTACTAAGCATAATTTTGTGGGGTTTTTTGGGGGGGGTCCGGTCATGGGGCCTGAACTCTGGGCCTGGGCGCTGTCCCTCAGCTCTTCAGCTCAAGGCTAGCGCTCTACCACTTGAGCCACAGCGCCACTTCTGGCTTTTTGTTTTTTTTTTTTTTGTTGGTCATGGGGCTTGAACTTTGGGCCTGGGCGCTGTCCCTCAGCTCTTCAGCTCAAGGCTAGCACTCTACCACTTGAGCCACAGCGCCACTTCTGGCTTTTTTCTTTTTGCTTAAGTGGTGCTGAGGAATCGAACCCAGGGCCTCATGCATGCAAGGCAAGCGCTCTACCACTGAGCCACTTTCCCAGCCCACTAAGCATAATTTTATCTAAAGCAGTGGTACTCAAAGTGCAGTTCCCCAATCCACCAACATCATCAACATCCCTAGGAAACATGTTAAAATGCAGTCATTCTGGCCTTATCCCAGACCTACTGAATCAGAGACCCTGGGATGGGGCTCAGCAACCTAATTTCATCAAACTGATGCGTGCCAAAGTTTTAGAACCATATATCTCTTCATCACAATAATCAACAAGGACAGGACTTGCTATCCCCTCTTTACTGATGTGAGAATTAAAAACTTAAAAGAGTTGAGCCCTTAGGCAGGGCTTATTTGTCTCCAACATCCATGAAGCCATCCTGTCCTTCCCCACCCAATATAATTGTGTGTGTGTGTGTGTGTGTGTGTGTGTGTGTGTGTGTGTGTGTGTGTGTATGCTGATACTGGGGCTTGAACTCAGGGCCTAGGCACTGTCTTTGAGCTTTTTCACTCAAGGCTGACTCTCTACTACCTGAGCCACACCTCCATTTCTGGCTTTTATTTTTTGCTAGTTAATTAGAGATAAGAGTCTCACAAATTTAACTGGGGGGGGGGGACTGGCTTTGAACAGCAATCCTCAGATCTCATGCAAACTGGTGCGCCCCCTCCCCCCATCACATGTATGCAGTACAGATCCACCACGGCTCCAGTCCCACCTCTCACACCTCAACACTGACACAGAATTCCTTGTCTCTGGGAGTCAGTTCCCAGCCACAGGTCTCCTCTAGCCCTTTGCCCCGCCTGTAGCCTTACTTGTTCTTATAGTCTTCCACGACGTCCTGCATGCTCCTGATCTCCGAGTTTTGGCGCATCTGCTCAGCATTGAGAGTATCCACCTGCCTCCGCAGCTCGCTGATGTAGCTCTCCAGGAGGGGCTCCAGGCTGCTGGTCCGCATTGAGGTGTTCACTTGCTGCAGCAGCTCCCATTTTGTCTGCAGTACCTGATTCTGCTGCTCCAAGAATCGAACCTAAGAACAAGGATCCCAGTCCATCTCATGCTGTGGCCAGCCCAGCTCCCCCACGGAGGGGAGGGGGTGCATCAGCAACCCTACAGCACACCTGGATCTCAAAGAATCAGGATGGCTCCTCCAGGGATCACAGAGCTGCCCCTTCTCTGGGACCAGGACCCTCATACAGGAGATAGTTTCTGATAGTTTCTGACCTCTGGCTCTAAGGTCAGCTTGCCTAAAAGGAATATTAAACTTGATCTGGATTTGAAAGTGCATTACCTAGCCTTAATACCTCTTTTGTTCCCATACAGCACTTTACATCCTAACTATGCTCACCCCCACGCTTCATTTATCCATGACAAATAAGCACAGAGTGGTGAGGAAACCTCTGAACCCCTGAAGACACAAGGCTCCTTTCTCTTTCTGGTTGGCATGTGTGACGTGATTGAGGACTGGAGGAAACTGGGCTTGGAATATCAAAACTGATTGCTGGTCAGGCACCAGCGGCTCAAACCTGTCATCCTAGCATCTCCGGAGGCTATGATCTGAGGATCGCTATTAGAAACCAGCCAGGACAGAAAAAGTCTGTGAGACTCTCATCTCCAATTAAGCACCAAAGAAGCTGGAAGCGGTGCTGTGGCTCAAGTGGTAGAGTGAACCTTGAGCAAAAGAGCTCAGGGACAGTACCCAGACCCTGAGATCAAGCACCAAGATTGGCACAGGTACGCACAGGTCCTAGGGCTTAAATTTAGAGCCTAGGAGCTGTCCCTGAGCTTTGTTTGTTCTACACCTTGAGCCACGGTTCCACTTCTGGCTTTTTTGTTAGTTAATTGGAAATAAGAGTCTCATGGACGTTCCTGCCAGGCTGGCTTCGAACCACAATCCTTAGATCTCAACCTCCTGAGTAGATAGGATTACAGGTGTGAGCCACTACAGACAATGCCTTTGAAAGTAGCACTGAGGAAAGTACCCAGAATTCCCCAGCTCTGAGACTGCCCATGGAAGAGGCCAGCCCTTGTCAAACGTTTGCAGAGAGCCCTGTTTCTTATGGCTCATTTTCCCTAGTTTTATCAAAGCAAATTATCAGGCAAGCAGCTCTCACAGGCTTGTCGGCACAGCTGACAACACCCTGGGAGAAATTATTTTACCCTGTGCTGCCACTCCTGGCCAGTCCTATGCTCACTTCCACTCTGTGACACTGTGGGGACCAAAAGAAAGTAACTGGTAGCAGCAGATATGGTTGGAAGGCCCCATCATGTCAGGCTTTATAGGATTCTGGATTTATTTCACACGAGACTGAAACCAGGGAAGGATGTGATGGAGAAGCATATGCTTTCAAAGGATGACTATGCTGGAGTGCATAGGATGGGCTGTGCTGGGTTAAGAGGTAAGGCAAGAAGACTAGCTTAGAAGCCAGTCAGAAATCACTGTAATGGAAGCCTTCTCCCTTCCATGCCAGAGGCCACCTGGCTGAATAATCTCTCCTCATAGTCATCAGAGGGAACACACTAAGGGAAAGAAAGGAAACCAAACATCCTATACCTTGACATCTTCCCACATCTCCATACCACAAGAGCTCAGACAAAATGCCACTTTGTACATGGGAGCCTCACTCTCCAGAGCATTCTCCTAGGCCCAGCCTGCTGTTCCTGCCCCAGCTTTATATCTTTATAGCCATTTCCCCTCTTCCTCTGTACTGACATTCTCCAGGAATTTTAACTATTTGAAATTCCCTAAAGGCATCATGCTTTTATGCCTGCTGCTTAGGAATCTCTGCCCTGGAAATCTGTTTTAGTCTTCCTCTATCTTTAAGACTCAGATCAGACCTGAGGGGCCTGAATAAAACTCTCCAAGAATCTAGCAGCAAGGGTAAATAAATTTATGGCATTTTCCTTTGAGTAATGGCAGTCCATAGTCCATACAATGGCTATTAACGTACTTTTTCCATGCACTGGTATCATTCTCTCCCCTTCAAATACTGGGTTCCTGAGGGTATAGTTATGTCATAGTCACCTCTATAGCAGTTGTCACAGTGGTATATACTAGATTCTTAGTAAACATTTGTGGGCTGAATTGGTGGGCAGATGGGTGAGCAGTGTGGTGTATGGGTAAGTATGTAGATTGGTGAATGGATGAATGAATGGAGGATTGTGTGTGTAGGAAAAGTGTAAGTGGATGGGTGAAAGGAAAGGAAAGGTACAGATGGATGGATGGATGAATGGATGGATATGTAGGTTTGTGTGGGTTTGGGACAGATAGAGGAAAGAAAGTAAGAAAGAAGGGATGGGTATGTGTGGCTGGGTGGAGAGATGATAGATGATAGAAGGCAAGAGGGGCCAGGTACTGGTGGCTCACGCCTGTAATCCTAGCTACTCAGGAGGCTGAGATCTGAGGATCATGGTTCAAAGCCAGCCTAGGCAGGAAAGTCCATGAGTCTCTTATCCCCAATAAATACCAGAAAACAGGAAGTGGCACTGTGGCTCAAGTGGTAGAGCACTTGCCTTGAGCTGAAGAGCTGAGGGACAGCGCCCAGGCCCAGAGTTCAAGCCCCATGACTGATAAAAAAAGAAAGAAAGGAAGGAAGGAAGGAAGGAAGGAAGGAAGGAAGGAAGAAAGAAAGAAAGGAAGGAAGGAAGGAAGGAAGGAAGAAAGAAAGAAAGAAAGAAAGAAAGAAAGAAAGAAAGAAAGAAAGAAAGAAAGAAAGAAAGAAAAGGAGGCAAGAGAATGTATAAAGACAGATGGAAAAGTGAATAAATGTGGCTGGGTGGATGGATATATTGGTGCACAGATGCATGGGTAGATAGAAAGTGAATAATGATGCATGAGACTGAGGATCTATTGCATATCTTCACACCGATCACCTACTCTCCTGCAAAATAGGAAGAAAACCTCCTTATATATGTCACTGTCATCAGTCCTCCAAGTGAAATAGCACAGTGTGGTATAGAGGTTACAGAGTTCCTAGCCAAGACCCTGCCTGGACCTAATGTTCTCACTCACCTTGTCAATGAAGGAGGCAAATTTGTTGTTGAGAATCTTAATCTGTTCCCGCTCCTGAGTCTTGACTCTCTGAATTTCAGGGTCCACTTGCAGGTGAAGTGGCTCTAGGAGGCTCTGGTTAATGGTCACCTCATGGATGCCCCCTGGAGGATAAGCAGGACCAAAGCCCCCAAACCCCATATTGCTAGCTCCAAATCCAGCACCTCCAAACCCTCCACCACCTCCAAATCTGCCACTTCCAAAACCACCACCTCCAAAGCCACCAGCCCCCCCAAGGCCACCACTTCCAAAGCCACCACCTCCAAAGCCACCACCTCCAAAGCCCCTGCCCCCTCCAAATCCTCCTCCTACTCCCCTACCCTGGCAGAAGCCACTAGAGCTTCTCCCCAGTAGGTTCATGGAGATGCTTTTACTGCCACCCAGATTGTAGAGGCTCCTAGAACCAAACCCCGACCCATAGCCCCCATAACCACCACCGCCACACCTCCCTCGGGCCTGACCCAGAGATGCTACAGCCCGACTCCCACCACCAAAGCCCGAGGAAGACCTGGTGCTATAGGCCCGTCTGCTCCTTGAGCTAAAGGCAGACTGAGAACTAAATTGGCGACTCATGGTTGCTGGAGCAACCAGAGGCGCAAGCACAAGTGAAAGCAAAGGCCCAGCTGGATGGAGGCGGAGATCAAGGAGGGAAGGAGCTATAACTCCTTTGGAAGAGGCCTGGCTCAGTCCCTATATATACATGCACCTGTGCTGGGCTGGGCTGCCCAGAATCCTGGGAGGGGAGTATTTGTTTAGTTTGCCTGCCAGTAACATCTGTTTGAAACTTCACACCTATGTGTTGCAGACAAACTTCCCCAACTTGATCATTTATCACTTATCTCATGCCACTGAGAGATGGGACTGCAATCATCTCTCAGCATCTAGTTGCTGGAAACTCCTGTAGAGTTTCTTCTCCAAATCGTTCGTTGATCTCTGCTAAGAAATTCGACCATCCATCTGTTTGTTTGGGGGTGTGTCTGAAAGATCTGGGGCAAAGTGGGGAGATAACTGGTTACCTTGAGAGCGTAGCTGGACACAGGTGGAGGAGACATAAGCCATGCTTACATTGTCCTCCTGGGAAAAAGGGATTTTCTGCTTCCCATCAACATTTGTGTTGAGCATCTACTAAAATAGAATATTGACTTCTAGACCAGCAGAGAAACTATCTAAAAATATCTTTTGTTCTGTTTTATCATTTCTGAGCCGTGATAGACAAGAGTTTTGTAGAATAAAATTGAATAAATGGCCCTTTAAAGGAGATTTAAAGACCAAAGCCATCCAAAATACAAGCCCTATTTTCAGATTCAGTAAGTAGAAAATTGCTCTGCTATTATAGAGGACATTGGTTATGTTGTTCCTAAGTGATTCCTCTTGAATTCTGTACTTCAGAGACCCTGTAGTAAAGTGCTCAGGGACCAACAATAGCCTATGCCCACACTCTGCAAAGCAGAGGCCTGGAGTGAAAGCATACTTAAGTGCGTTTGTGTCAGCCAACAAAACCATGTGTTCACCCTTTGGACCCAAATAGCTAGTGGCTTTCATTCAAAAGATAATAATGACTGTTTTGAACTTGCAGGGGAAAAAAACTAAATGTCATGCATCAGAAAAGTGGTGGTTTGTCCAATAAGATACAAGAATTTATCTCAAATCATCATCCTGGAGACTATGTGGCACAAATCAAAGCACTTAGGCTATAATGTTACGTGGATAATAATACACATTGATCTGTGCTTGTAACTCATTAAAAAAAATTATGAGTGCAGGAACTGGAGCTGTGGTTCAAGAGGCAGATCACCAGCCAGGAACAAAAAAAAAAGTCAAGTGAGAATTTGACACCCTGAGTTCAAGTCCCAGTGCTGACATTAAATAGCAGTAATAGTAATTAGAAATTAGAAAAGATGAACTTAAAAAGTGGCTTGCAGCTGGGTACAGTAGCTCATGTTTGTGAACCTCACTACTCAGGAGGTAGAAGTTGAAAGGAACAGAATTCAAGACCACCATGAGCAAATGAGAACCTCAACCAATAAAAGGCATGATGCACATGCCTATCACCCCACCTACCCAGGAAGTATAAATCAGATTACAGTCTGAGCTGACCTGGACATAAATGCAGGAAAAGAATAATATAACTAAAGCAAAATTGGCTCAAATAATACAGTATCTGCTTTTCAAGTACAAAGCCCTGAGTTTAAAACCCTAGCTCCTCATTTTTTAAGTACCTTGAGAAATGAGTTAATCTATTGCAAACTGTGGTGCGTTTTCTTCTAAGTCTTTAAATGTCCTTCTCCATTGTTGTCATATAATAATTTCCAAAACTTGGGACTGAAATCACAATGACCCAAAAAGTTGAGTCAGAAATCCCAATAGAGGTGAGAAAGGGTAGGCTACTGATAGGAAAGAACAAGAACCAAAAATAAGGGGTTGATAAGCAGCCGCCAGAAGTATCCTAGGGCTGGGAGAGGCTCTGAGGGCACCTTCAAATTCCATGTCTTCTCATCACCTTCCTCTGCTTTCCTAGCCTGGTAACTGTTTAGGCAAGGTATCTGCAGGAGTATAGGATGGAAGAGAGAGTGATCCTGAGGTACTCACAGAAGAGCTGTTTCAGCTCCCAGCTCTGCTTCCTCCTGGCTGCATAATCTCAGCCAAGCCCCCTACTCCAGAGCCCCACATAGTAAAGGGATCTTCCTATTTCTCAATGGTTCAGTGCTGTAAGCTGTGTGGAACAAATCAGGGCAAGCATAAAAATAGCTGCACACAGATCCTAGCAAGATCATAGCTACCTGGTGTGTCCAAGGTTTTCAGCTTCCTCTAAGATAATTCTAGGCAAGTCAAAAGAGTGGGTCCTTCCATCCTAGGCTCCTGTGGCCTACACAGCTCTACCCCTGATCTTAACACTTTTGGGGAATCAGTAAGGGAACAAAGCCAGGGCTCTTCCAACTCCAAATGATAAAGAGAACAACCAGTGGAGCCAGAGGAAGAAAAGGGATAGTGGAGTTGGGAATGGAATGGGTGGAGTGTGAGAAAGTTGCCTGAAGGCGATGAGAATCCTCAGTCAAGGAGAGGCCCAGAGAATTAAACTGGAAGAACAGACAGAGGTCAGCAGGAAAAAATGAGACTGTTATACAGACAGAAATCCCAGCAATAGGTGAAATGTCCTTAGGATCTCTCTCTCTCTCTCTCCCCCTCCCCCTCTCTCCCTCCCTCCCTCCCTTCCTCTCTCTCTCCCTCCCCTCCTTCCATCTGTCTCTTTCTCTCTCCCTTTCCTTCCCTCCCTCTCTCTCCTCTCTTTCTTTTTTCCCTTTCTCTCTCCCCTTCTCTTTCTCTCTCCTCTTCTTTCTCTCTCCCCCTCTCTTTCTCTCTCTCTTTCTCTCTCTCCTGCCTAATGCTTTCCTGAAGAACATGCAGAATTAACCTCTTCATCTCTCTCTCTACTCCCAATTAAATAAATAGGAAGCCTCTTGATATTAGAACCAAACATCTTGCCCCAAAACCCCAACCCCATAAAATTGCTGGTCGGAAGACCAATAGCCCAATAACACAGACCTGCCCAATTGAGTTAAAGTTAAGGCCAACACATGGCACAGTTGTGGCCTCCACATTTTGTAGTTATGGAGTTGAAACCCAGCTCTCCACTGACTAGCTTTGTGTCTAATCTCTGTGAGCTCTCTGAACTCTCTGAGCTCTGTATAAAGCCTGTGGCTTGGTGCTTGATAAGAACTAAACATATTTCTCAGTATGTGTTTGATGGCAATGGCTGCAGCACTTACGAAGTGCTATGAGATTTTAGAAAGTGAAGCAGCTGCAGAAGCTGTCACAGAAGCCCAGACCTAGCCAAGCTTGCCTTGAAGGACATGTTGCATGGAAGCACATGGAGTACTCTGGAATAGGAGATTGGAATGGGAATGACCCAGGGAGTTATGTGGGCCAAGGCCTAGAGGAAGTAAAGGACACTGCAAGAGGCTGAGATAAAGCCATGGGGCCCTTTTGCTTCTAGGGAAGAGGTAAAAACATGGAACTGAGCTATGAGTACCAGCAAGGTATTGGAGAGAAATTCAGCACTCACCCAGATTTGTATTTATTCTCATGCTGTGTATAAGAACATATGCAATTAGAGTCACATAAAAGAAGAGGCACCAGGTAGCAGAGTTCAGAAAAGTCCTTTCATTTTCTGTTAGCAACTGCCAGCATCCAGTGCCAATATCCCAGTCCATCTCCTGTGGTCTGGATGAAGGCTTTTCCATGGAAAGGTGGGGGAGGGTAAGAGGGCATGGGCACCCAGCAAATGCACTGAGCCTTTGGTGGAAGGTGACAGCTGTTCCCTACTCCTCACAAGAAAGAAAATCTGAGATAGCATGCAACAGGAGAGATCTTGCTTGTCCCAAATGAGATACCTAATCTCAGGGCATCCATAGGGTGGATAAGCTTGCTAGGATAAATTGCTGTCCCTAAAAGGAATCTCTCAACAGGCTGCATAGCACAGAGCCACGGTCACAGTCACCTGGACAGCTTCAACACACACAAATACACACACAGCAGAGTGGGTTTAAGGTCTGGCAATATGATCTGAGCCTCGGAAGTTTTCAAAGATCCCAAGTGGTTTTAATGGACAGATAACTTCAGTGACCGCTGACCTGGAGGAAATGTAAGGACCACTGAGATGATGGCTTGGGATTCCATTCTCTTTAAGCATAGTAATAACAATCATTCTATTAAAGAGAGGGTTTAGCTGGGAGCTAGTGGCTCACACTGGTAACCCCAGCTACCCAGGAGGCTATTGAGGATCACAGTTCAAAGCCAGCCCAGGCAAGAAAGTCCATGAGACTCTTATATCCAATTAACCACCAGAAAACTGGAAGTAGAACTGTGGCTCAAGTGGTAGAGAGCTAGCCTTGAGCCAAATAAAGCTTAAGGATAGTCCCCAGGCCCTGGGTTCAAGCCCCAAAACAGGCTTAGTAGTAGTCGTAGTAATAATAATAATATTTTAAAAAGAAAATTTATTATTAGTAATATTTTTAAAGAAGGAGGGATTGGAGAGAGCAAGGGAAACGGTGACATTGTCTAAAAAGAAATGTATTCTTTACCTGACTTACATAACTGTAACCCCTCTATACATCACCTTTATAATAATAATGATAATAATAATTTTAAAGAGGGAAGGATTGTTGAATCAAAATACCTTTCTATAAGTACTTAAAGATATGATGTTTAAATTTTAAATAAAGATAGGAAAAAAGGAAACTTGGAGAGATGAAGAAGAAGAGGAAGAGAAAGAGGACAAGGTAGAGGAGGGTGGGAAAAAGGAGGAAGAAGAACTTGTCCAGGAACACAGAAGAGAATGAAAGGCAAAGGCACCCAGCAAATACTACAAGTGTTACTGAGAGGACAGCGTCCTTGGCCCCCCTTCTCTTCCTCCCTATCTCTTCATATCCCTCTCTTTCCCACCTTATATCAGCAAGTATACTTCTTAAAAGGAAGGTGGGAAATGCATTGTAGGCTCCAGGCTGCCCCACCTGACACTGAAATACAGTGCTGCCAAGAGGGTGAGGCCGGAGCAATTATCAGCCACTCAGATC